AGCCAACATCTCGACGGGCTCGACAGGAGGGCGAGTGGCACCTTCCCAAAGCTATCTCCGGACTGCAGGAACTGAAGCCAGCAGGGGCAGAAGGAACCATGGGTTGCCCCTACTAGGCCCTACTTGATACTAAATGTTTCCCGCCGACAACAGATTAAAGACGAAGGCTGCAGATTAGACGTCAGTTGGGTTGTGCCCGGCACGGAAGGTACAGGACGATAAATGTCTGGACACCGGCGGGTGCTAGTTAGGGTCACGGTGTCGTCCAGTCTGCATGTGAGTTCACCGATGCAGCATGTACAAAAAATCAAGCTGCGTTCATGGTCGCCTCCGGTGGTCATGTCACTTAATTCAGTATGCAGAAACAACTGATACAGTGAGTGGGTCGTCCAGTTTACATGTCAGGAAATCCATGCCGAACGTGCAATCATTGAAAGCTTCTTTGGTGACATTGAGGTCGTGCAGTGCGCATGTATTCTACTGAAGCGCGTTGTACAGAGGAAGGTCGTTCATTGGCACTGGGTGTTGGGCGTACTCTTCTCTTTGCCATGTTTGCCACTTGCCGCTCCGAAGCGTATGCACCCTTCGCCTGGTCGGATGTCCAGCTTCGGGTGGGAGCCAAATTCATCGGTATTTTGCTGTTTTGTTTCATCTTCGATTGCGTCTTGCGGTTGTGGTGGAAACGAGAGAGGTTTTCCAAATGCAGTAATTTGCAGCATTTTCTGGTTTACGATATTGTTCAAGCAGGCAAACGACTGGCACGAGGTCGTAAAGGGGGGTTGCGGCCGTTGTTCGCGTTCGACTTTGCCGTGACAGACACGCGCGTTTGGTGCTGGTTGTTGGGCATCGGTTTTCTTGTGGAATTGCAAAACAGGGGCAGTTTCGGTGATGAGGTCTGTGTTTTAGGAGCAAAGTGTCCATGGCCGAAGCCTAATGACGTTCACATGGATGCTCTGCCCGGCCAAAGCTTGTTGGATGACTGGTGCTTTCGTTGTGCTTGGTTTAGTTTTTCTCGGTATTGTCGGTGTTTTCTAGCTTGGGGCGGGGGGTTGGGGGGTGGGGGCTTGATTTCGTTCTTGTTCCACTGCCGTTCGTTTTGCATTGCTGTGCCTCTCACCTACCATGCCCCCGCATGCAAAGTATGACCACATGCATGTGCCAGATAACAGTTTTTTTACATCCTCTTCGTGCCGAAGCCACAAACCATAGTGCCAGGTCTCATGCGTTCCTTAAACCTCACGACGTTTCGGGCCGGCGAGTGGCGTACATGCATTCTGATTTGGAACGGAAGTTAGATGTCATCGTTTTGACTCGAACATCCCCTCCGTTACAAAAGAGGGGACGTTCTTGTAGTTCTGCAGATGGCACCGCGACCGTACCTCCAGCTAGAGTGTGGACGATTTAATAACCAGTGCCAACACCCGAAGATGTCAACAACAAAAAGTATCAAGCAAACTGTACGCATTCTTTCTTGCCATGAACTCGCAGCTACTGTGGACACCCACGGCGCTGACACTCGCCTCCGTCGCCAAACAAACATGCGCCGTACGTTTTGCATGGCTTACCTTGCGAGTACATAGGACAAATTGACGACCGTAAGCATCGCCGGCACGAGCAAACGAAGTTTTATTGTACAGTTTACATGGGTGAACCGACATGCACACCCGACGACCCAACGACCATAACAATCGCCAACTTGGGCTAACTACGTATAGCGGAGACCGAAAGGCAGTAACGCCAGCGTGCTTTGCCAGGCAACTTTGTAAATATCCTACTATACGTGTCGCATGGACTACAGGTAGCGGGACGACCCCGTCGGCTGCAGCAGCGGCAGCATCGCCAGCAAACGTCATAGACGCCACCATAGATCGCTCGGAGATCAGCGCCATATTCTGCATGGGTTGCCCCAGATGTACAACTGCGAAGCCACGACTGCAGCAGACCTCACGACCGTAGCGCCTGCCAGCCAAACCTGTGGTGTCCGAAATCCCGATTTGGCATGTTCGGCCCCCTTCGCTTTTGCGGTTTGACCTCAGCTTTTTCTGTTTGAGCCCTGTGACGCTGCGTGCCCTCTGCTTCGCTGCAGCTCGAGTGTGCCTGAGCTTGCGCGGTCTGACCATGTTTGACCAGTTACCAGTTACCTGGCCCAGCTGCCTGTTGCAGGAAATGGACGGAAGACTGGCAGGAGGCCGCAGGGCCCCTGGAAGAACTTTGTGGCATCTCGGGGTCCGCTCCGAGTCCGCTTTGACTGAGGTTAGCCTGGGGTTGACCTTGGCCCTGGTCGTGATGTTCTTTGTGGCAGCTGCCCCAACGTCCGTGGCACTTTCATTGCTATTCTGAGCCGAGTGCTTTAACCCCAGACCCAGGAGCCCATTCTGTCGTGCTTGCAGCATACAGAGGGCCTTGGTATCTTCACGCAGCGCTGCCCACAGGCTTGGGACCTTCTGGGTCTCGAACCTTGGATCGCAGAATGTCGTGGCGAATCGTCCGGAGGCAAGCGACACGCGAGAGCCGTATGAGATTCTCTCCATGATCGCCGCTTGGCTTCAGAGCTTTAAGCCACTCTGCGATGTGGTGCGATGTGCAGATGCGGTGCTGAAATCGTGCAGGCCATCATGCTGATCTTCACGTTGGCTGCGGATACCGCAACAGTCTCCACCAGGTGCTGCCTGAGATCGAGCAGGGAGGGGCGAGACCCTTTCGTTCTTGGCCGTGCTGTTCAGGCTCTCCTCTTGGCTTCTGGTAGCCGGCCATGTTCTGCCTGACCTTGTGGAGCACTCAGAGCACGATGGCGGGCAGTTTGCATGCATCGTCTGGGTCGTCGTTTCAAGCTCAGGGTCTAGCGCTGCTCGCCTGCGGCTTCCTAGTGCTGTCCGGGGCCGAGGGCGGAATTCGACCTCTCCAGGACGCCTGCCCGCATTCAGGACTTTTGGTAGCAGCGTGGCGGCATCCCTCGGCAACCCAGAGGCGGCGGAAGTTGCCATCGTGGAGGGGAGTGTGGCATATTCAATGATTCAAGACCAGTCAGGATTTTCAGGGCATTGGAAGCTGCCTGATGGCCTTCCTGCAGTTGGCGGTCGGGCCCTGATGGGCTGTGGCGTGCATTCGCTGCTGGAATGCGAGTCAGACTGCGTGGCGAACTCAGATCAACATGTTTCCAGCTTCGCACCTGGAGCAGCTGGAGGATGGGGAAAGCGCCGATAGGGCTTGGGGCATTCTTGCAGCATGATGCAGCAAGCTGCGGCCGAGGGAGGCACACGGATTGGGTGGCCGTCTCTCGCGAGGCTAAAGCAGACAATACGCATGAATGGCATTGGCATAGCTTCAATGCTTTGTGTGTCGAGCGGTTTGTGAGAAGGAGAGCTTCATTCTTCTTGCAGCGGCGAGCTGCTTTCGAGTCTTGGCCACTCGGGCGACAGCAGCTGGCAGTTTTTGCCGAACAGATCTTGCACCGACTGGCATCTTCGGCAGCGAAGGTCGTCTTTCTGCTAATGAATGTCCTCATCGCGCAGCTCACTTGCCCACCGGCAGAACACCAGTCACGCAAGGTTGCATGTGGGTTTAAGCAAAAAGCAGCACTCTAAAGGTTGCTACAAGCAGCTCTCCGTGAGCATGGTGGGCCATGCACGCCTGCGTGGCCGGCTCAGTAACGCCGCCGTGTCAGGCCACTGCACGGGTGAATGGAGTCAAGAACCAAGGTCGCATGCACAAGGTTTGCGAGGTCGGCTTCGCGGGGCAATCATCGGTGTTCTTCTCGAGCCTGGACGCAGGCCATGGAGGGAATCCCTTCCGCGACCTTCCAACGTTTCATCGAGCCTGTGGGCCCAGCTTGGGGAGTTACCAGGATTCGTTGGGACCGTTGGGACAACTGCTACGTTTCCACCCACCCAGGAATTTGCGATTGGATGATCCGGTGGAGTTCGGGGAGGGTGACGTTGGTCCGGCAGGGGGCATCCAGGCAGCGTGCGGTGCAGCTGGGGATGGGCTTCTGCGGTGCAAGGATGCGCGAGACTCGTACAGGTTCTGGAGCCTGGGAACCTCCATCCCACGAATGTCGGCGACTGAGTCTAGTCAGGGCGGCACTGAGAGGGGAGCTTTGGAAGCTCCAGGTGGACACGATCCGGCGAATGGGCGGGAATCCCAAAAATCCTTTTCCACCAGAAGATGAGGACCTCACAGAGGCGATCCGGGACTCGGGACACTTCGGCCCCTTGATGAAAAGCAGTCACAAAGCTCTTTAGAGTCGAGGCCGAAAGGTGCCAGCGCCTGTTTAAGATGTATCAGAAGGCAGTGAAGCCCGGGTCCCAGTGCCCAGTGCTGCTGTGGGCTCTTCTCTTCTTGGGCTTTCGGGATTTCTGGGCCCGGCCCGAGGAAGATCACGAGCCAGGGGCACTCCAGCGATGACAAGCCCCCTGCGCCCAAGGCTTCCGAGGAGCTTCCAAAGCGGGGTGGCGAGCTTTGAAGTTGCTGCCAGGCAATCACGAGCCGAACCACCTTCGGAATGACTCCGGAGGAGGTAGCCGGATGCTCTGCAATACCGCTCCGCTCCTTCCACGAACCCGCTGCCAGGCGAAGGAGGTCAGTGAGTGAGTTCGCAGGCATCATTGCCAGTTCAAAGCCTCTGGCGACTCAAAAGATAAGTCGCTTAGTCGCCTGTGTCTGAGGCAGCTGCGAGCTTGCCGCGTTAATGACTTTTTCTAAGGGCGATTCATGCCGCCAGGACCTGCAGCTCTGCCACTAGTGCTGTTGCATAGATGAAAACGTTTTATGATTCTATACACTTTCCACGCAGGTGCAACGGCAGTTGCAGACTCGTTCTTCGCCTCGAGGTCTCTCGCGAATGCGATCTGTCTCGTTGGTGTGCCAGCTAGGCCGAATGGCCAGCAAAAAGAGCCGCACCGTCGGGATGTGTTTGGTTGCAGTAGGATAGCAGAGTGCTAGCGCTTGCTTCGATGCGTCCTGTGACGTTGATAGACTCCTGCCCTTCTCCCGCTGAGTCCATGCTGGATCGTCAGGACTCAGAGGAGGAGCCTGAGCGCTGGAAGGCGAAACAAGCAGCGAGCAGAAGGGCCCCTTTGCTTCGAAGTTTCTTCCCGAAGGCGGCGCGGGACAAAGCCACCCGCGCCCCGAGGAGAACTGTGGTGGTTGGCGCCCCCGTGGGGGTCTCAGGTCCTGCATCTCATGTTCTTCGGCTGGTAGTGGGGCAGAGATGGACAGCATGAGCCAAGGCGCCTGTTGCGGCGAGCAAGCCGAAGAAGAGGAGCCACAAGCCCAGTGAACACTGCACCATGCACCGACCTAGTTGTTGGGCTAAATTGGGCTCATGTGGCTTGACAGGTCCGGTCCAACAGCTTCTCAAGGCCCTGGCCAAGCCAGAGACGCCCAAGAGATGCCCTTGCAAGCTTTCGTGTTTTGAACTCGAGGTGATCCGTGCCAGCAAGACCTGTCTGATAGCGCGTGGTGCCCGGTGAGTAAGCTTTTGCACTGGCGACGGCTGTTGCTTCTGCCATGAGGCTGGAGATAGAGGAGACCGCGCAGGACCTCCGTATTCTGCGAGTCCCGAGCTCAAACATAAACTTACATCCGAGCAGGGTTACTGCAAAGTTCTTCCTGCAGATTCTGAAGGCCATCCAAAGCATCCCGGAAGATGAGATCGAGATGTTCTTCAGGCCATGGGCCATGGGACATTCCTTTTATTTGAGCTGCGGAGAGAGCTTGGTTTCATTTCAGGCATGGAAAGGGTCGGGAGAGTTGGGGGTGAGCGGCAGCAGCTTGTGTCGGCAGGGACTGCGGCTTTACGGAGGAAACGGTTCTTCACATCGCAGAGCTGATTCAGGCCGTCGGGTTGTCAGTTGCAGATCCCAACCTTGCGCTTGGGCTAAGCCTGCTGAGCCGACTGAGCGAGAAGGGTGTTCTCCGCAGGAGGGGCGGCCACAGATAGAGCGGAACTTGGCTTCGGTTCTTTTGGGTCGACGTCGCAGACAGAGCCTGTGGGCCTGTGGTCTAAGGAGGAGCTGTCAACGAGCATCTTGCGAAGGACCTGGTGCCTGGTCCGAGCTCCAGAGCAGGCGAGCAGCTTCCTTCTGGTCTCTTGTCTGTTCTTTTGATAGGTCATCCAGATCCTGGTCTTCTGCATCGTGCCTCCCACAGAACAGAAGCATAGTGAGCTGCAGAAGAGAGCGGTTGCTTTGCCCAGGCTATGGTGCTAGCTGTGTCAGGGGTGTGCCTGCCCTAATTGCAAAGGCACTAAGGCACTACCAGGCTCAGCTCACATGTTGGAGTCTGCCAGGGCTTCTTTGCTATCTCCTTGGGCTACACCGGCGCCAGCTGCCAGTTCTCCGACTTCACGAACGGGACCCTTGTCTCTCTATCTCCTCTTCTCTGGAGGGGGCTCGGCTTCTTGGGGGTGCTGGTGGTTTGCAGGACTTGCCAGCAAGGCAACGTCTGCAAGCTGCAGGCCAGGTCATGAGCATCCTGGAGCAGAGACATCAGAGGGTCAGTGATTCTCCTAGGCCGGGTGTCCTTGCTCCATGTGGGGGAAGGGTTGAAGCCTGCAGTACATCAGCCGAGCTGGGACGGCGACAAGACAAACCGAGATGCAGACAATTTTTGGCACCATCGAGAAGGTATAGACGCGGATCGCGTGTCGACAACAACGGTGGGCCAAACAAGGTGAGACTCGGCATGAATCGGCGTGAAAGAAGCTTGCGTCAGGTCGCGGCCTGGTACGAGGGAGGCATTGCCTACTCCAGCGAGCCCAGCACTAAGCAGTGCCAGGAGTCTACGCCGCGAGACAGAAGGAAGTTCACCTTGCTGGACTTTGAATGATGGCTTAGATGTAGACGTCGTGCTTGTATGTTCGTCAGCTGCGTGTAGCAGTGTGGCTCGTCCGGCTGCTTGCCATTTCGTCTCCTCTCAACACTCCCGGCTCAGGTTCAGCCCTCCAGTGGCGACGTCGGAGTTGGGGCCCCGAGTTTCCTGAGAGCCCCAGACCACGAGACCGCGAGACCGCGACTCGCAGAGAGTGAGGGCCACTGTGTCGCAGCAGTGTCAGCATCGCCCGCGAAAGGTCGGCCGGATTGAAATCCTTTGATACTAACGGTGCCTTCCGCTGCTGCAACTTCGCACAGCAGGCGGCGGTGCTTTTTTCGACCAACTTGGCTTCGAGAGTCTTCCGACCAGGCTGCACTGCGAAACGTCATCCCCCAGGACGAAGGCAAACGGGCGCATTCTCTTCGGTTCTCCAGTAAGACATCCAGGATTCATCGACGGTGGGAGACCTCGGAGTTGGCTATGGGTCAGGCGCCGTCTCTGACACTGTTGCAGCCGTCTCTGACACTGTTGCAGACTGCCTTTCACCACAGTGTTGCATGTCAATGTCTCTCCTTGCAGTGCAGTATTCAGTATTCCTCTACTCGCCTTGCCGAGCCATTGAGTCAAGTCCGGTATTTTTTACTTTGGCATGGATAGCTCGAGCTTCGCTTAAACAGACAAACACGCACGTGTGCACACCCACCCGGCCACACACACACACACCCACACGCACGCAAATACAACGTGCCCATCAATCTAGCCATCCAGCCATCGATCGTTCTTCTAGAACCATTTTTTTGATAGCACGAAACATGGCAAAGCCAATTTCTTCTAGAACCACACGCACATCTGAGTATACTTCGTTGCTGCTTTAAATCTGTATTATTATTTCATTCAGTTTCCTTTTCTGTAAATAAATTTCGAAGACATAATGTCTACTCTACAGATTGCACTGCCATGCCTCCCCGATTTTCTGTATCGGGCACTCCAGCATGTTGGTCGCACAGCTTCACAACATGCGAGCTTGCATACCGTTCCCGATCGGGTCTTGAAAGCGCATCGCACGTTCCGGAAGTCATCAGTTTCAGGGTTTTCGAGGTTTGTTTCGGTGCTGAGTTTCGGGCTTCGGATCAGGACATGTCAGACCCATCAGTGCAAGAATCGGACTGAAACTGCCCGCATCGCCCCCCGAAGCTGATTTGCGCGCTGTGCCGAAACTGTCCTGCTGTGATCCGAAACCCCCGGCAGCCGATCCGAAATTGGAACCCCGAAACAATGGGCACCCCGTGCGTGCCGATGCTGAACACTCACAACCATCAGACATCAAGTTTCAAAGTGCCAATTCGCGAAAACATCAGATTCGCCTGCAACGACAACAGGAAAATTGACGATCTACCTGTCAACGTGTGCGGAACACAACCGACAACTACGTTAACCGGCTGATGGCTTGGATTCTCTGCTAGGCACTCCGTGCTGCGACTTCTACAATGATCGCAGCAAGGTGCACACATTGATCATCAGACAACGCGCAGAGCTGCCTGGAGTTTGTCCTTGATGAGCCATTTCAGCAGATTTTGCAGGTCTTCTGTGACAACTTCGGTACCATCCAGTCCGATCCTGAAGCCACTGCGTGCTGTATGGAGTTATGTGCACGGAGATTTCGGTGGTGCGTGTACATCAGCTGGAATGTCCTGGCGTGTTTGAAGGCAGTTTTCCCATTGTCCGGCCGCACCCTGGTTGGGATCCAAGCTTGGCAGTACGTGTCACTACCAAGTTTATAGCCAGTACTAGTAGTGAATTTGAATGTTAGGGCCAGGGTTTCTGATGTTAAGTTGCACTATGGCTCTTGTTGCAGCCCTTCGCTTCCAAGGGCCTGTCGGCTAAAGCTTGGAGCAGACGAAAACGGCAATGTCAGAATCGACGAGCTTCGTGTCGGTTCCCCAGAAATGCTCGATGAGCCGCAATGGTCATCAGCGGTCGTCTGTAATGCCTGTGTGAAGCGGCGGGCTGTTGAAGGGAGGCAGCGAAGAGAAGCTGGCATTCAAGCTTGCTGGAGAGAGGATGCAGTGGACAGTTGAACGCGATGAAGTGGGCAGCTGGTTGGGCATTGAATCGCAGGTGTAAAACCATGCTGCCTTCGGCATTCGGTGAACGAAGTAGCAGGTGGGAGGAGCTGAGTGCTTTGCCTTTGCGTAAGCCACTTACAAGCACCAAGGAAACGAGAGTAGACAGCTACATGCTGTAGCTGCAGCCATAAGACCGAATTTTGGAGATCAGACCTGACAATGGGATTCCGGGATTGGGCAACCTCGCGCCCTGACCTCGCGGCCTCGCGGCCTCACGGCCTCACGCCCTCGCGGCCTCGCGCCCTGACCTCGCGGCCTCGCGGCCTCGCGGCCTCACGCCCTCGCGCCCTGACCTCGCGGCCTCGCGGCCTCGCGCCCTGACCTCGCCTCCCGGCCTCACGCCCTCTCGGCATCGCGGCCTCGCAGCCTCACGGCCTCACGCCCCTCACCTCGCGGCCCGCGGCCTCGCACCCTGACCTCGTCTCAACGACCTCGCGGCCTCACGCCCTCGCGGGCCTCACGCCCTCGCGGCCTCGCGCCCTGACCTCGCGGCCTCGCGGCCTCACGGCCTCACGGCCTCGCGCCCTGACCTCGCGCCCTCGCGGCCTCACGGCCTCACGGCCTCACGGCCTCGTTCCCTGACCTCGCGGCCTCGCGGCCTCGCGCCCTGACCTCGCGGCCTCGCGGCCTCACGGCCTCACGCCCTCGCGGCCTCGCGCCCTGACCTCGCGGCCTCGCGCCCTCACGGCCTCACGCCCTCACGGCCTCGCGCCCTCACAGCCTCGCAACCTCGCGGCCTCGCGCCCTCACAGCCTGTCGTTGTTGCTGTTGTTGCTGCTGTCATTGTTATTGTTATTGTTATTGTTAGTGCTATTGTTATTGTAATTGCACTTGTAGTTGTTACTGTTACTGTTACTGTTACTGTTACTGCTACTGTTACTGTTACTGTTACTGTTACTGTTACTGTTACTGATATGGTATTGCTATTGCTATTGCTATTGTCATTGTTATTGATATTGTTATTGTTATTGCTATTGCTATTGTTATTGTGGAAATCGCCATGTAAAGCAGCCGTTGCGCCAGCCTGACCTGCCGAAGGATGATGGCTCATAGCTGTGCGTACGTGGAAAACGGCTCGTCGAGGCCGGTTGGGAATTTTCTGCCGTTGTGGTTTTCTAGTGGTAGCGGAGCTCCGAACGGGGCTCCTAGTGGTTGGTTGGAGAGTGGTGTGATTGTTGGTCAGGACTTACACGGGTAGGTTTTAGGTAGTGGCCGGGTAGTTGCCTTGAGCCATGAGTTCCTTCGTGCGCGATGCTATGGGCCGCGAGTAGGAGCGCTCTTCGACGACGACGGTGATGCCGTCGGCTTTGCAAGAGGCCGGCTGGTCGGAGCACCGGCGAACGTCTGGTGTGAGTCTGGAGAGATGGAGCCCTTCAATGGATGGGTCATTGCAGGGACGAAGCCTCTGGGGGGGAACGCCAGAACGAAGAGTCTCCCCTGAAGTCGTGCGGGCGGATCGGCAGGATCATTGGGAAGCTGCCTCTGCCCCTGGAGCTCTGGAGCACGACTCTTGGAGCCAAAGCTCATGGGAGTGGACCAGTTACGATTGGTCAGAACGTTCGTGGATGGAAGACCCATGGGCCGTCCACTTGGATGCCGCTCGCCCCGGCTGGAGGCGTCACTACAGCAACTGGGAACGCAACGATCGGGAGGCTGGACAATGGCCTCTGCCTCCCGAGGATCACGGCGTTCCTTTTCCGAGGCTACTGTCCCGCCGCGAGAACAGCCCGGCGGAGGAGAGAAAGACTGTGGTGCCGCCAAGGAGAGCCCAATTTTTCGATGAGAGAGAGGACCATGATCTACGTCGAGGTCCTCGAGGTGCCCCTTGGCCCGATCAACCGCAAGAACATCCCGAAGGTATGGATCGGCGTCTTCGAGGCGATCAGCCACAAGAACATCCCGGAGGTTCGGATCGGCGTCTTCGAAGCGATCAGCCGCAAGAACATCCCGGAGATTCGGATCGGCGTCTTCTAAGCGATCAGCCGCAAGAACATCCCGGAGGTTCGGATCGGCGTCTTCCAAGCGATCAGCCGCAAGAACATCCCGGAGGTTCGGATCGGCGTCTTCTAAGCGATCAGCCGCAAGAACATCCTGGTGGTCCGTTGTCGGCGTCTGTGGCGTTAGCGAAAGGAGATGCCGGGTCAGGGGTGCAAGGTCACGTTACAGGACAGCAGTCAGCAGGCCATACTTCGAAGAGCGAGCGTGGTGATGGCAACTCGTTCCTGAAGCTTCACTCCTCTTTCCCGCCAGAGTTCCGAGCCAAGCCGGGAGAATCGTGGAAGGACTACTGGCGGACGGTGGAGTTTTGGCTGGCGTCGGAGGGGGCAAATCTTCCAGTAGGAGTACGCGCCACTCGCCTTATGCAGCAGCTTAAGGAGAGGGCCGGGAAGATAGTGAACCACTTGACCGTGGAAGATGTGACAGGCCCCAACGGCGTTCAGCTGATCCGGAGCGAAATGGAGAAGAGTCCCATCATCAAGCTGCTCGAGCACAAGGAGGTCGACAGGAAGCGGCAAAAGTTCATGCGCTTAAACCGCTTCCCGAAGGAGTCGCTGGAGTCGTTCATCAACAGAGCGTCGATCTACAGGCACGAGAACGATGCATGCCAGAACTATCGGGTCGGCACCAAGTTCTACCTGGGCCACTTGATCGACGCCGCTCGCCTGACCTCCAAGGACCAGGCCCTCATCAAGACCGCAGCTGGAGGCCTTCATGAAGAAAGTCGGGTGATACAGGCGATGCTTGAGTTGTCGGAGCAGCTGGAGGGCCAGGCAGGGTACCCGATTGGAAAAGGGGAACCGGACCTTCCAGACGAGGACCAGTATTTGGTCCAAAAGGCCCATCGGGACCATAGCGACCGAGACCACCGCAAGGAACACCGTCAGGGAC